CTAAAGGTGTAGCTATGCGCGATATGCACATGTGGAGGTTGTGGGATGCCTTCCATGGGACAGGGCTTCGAGAGTTCGGTAGAAATCCCACTCTAGGGGCTGAGGGCTGAGGGTTGAGGGGATTTAGGGTTTAGGGTGTAGGGTTTAGGGCTAGGGTTTAGGGGATTGAGTGGATTTAAGGTTGAGGGTTCTTTGTTCGAAGCTTTTGCTGAGCACCCCGGCGATATCTTCAAAGTGTCGGAGTCGGCTCCGTTTGGAAGCAACTTAACACTAGAACACTAAAACACAAAGACACACACACACACCGCAACTTTTCACAATGAGCTTGCACACAACACTGGGCCGCAGCCCAGCATCTTCACCCATTTCCAGGCGTAGCAAGGTCACCTTCCCACCACAGGTTCAGCAATCTGAACAATAAAGACGCCTGCCCTTATTTCCACGGCAAATCAATAATCTCAAAAATGTCTGCAAAATGTCGCTTCTGCATATCCACACCAACAGGAATGTCATCACGACTAAGTCGACCAGCCCACGTGTTTCGTTCGCCAGCAATGCGCGAACAGCGAACGGTCAAGTTCCAGCAGCAGCAGTAATACCCCAGAGCCTGAAGAACAAAAGACAGAGGTTCTTCTTGACTCATCAATTTCACAGACGAAGCCGTAACCCCAGAGTTGTCACACAGCTGACGAAACTGCACCGTCACTGTAGAGGACACCAACTGGGCATGCCTGCGACGAAGAACACGAAGTAGCAACTGCGCTAGTGCCTCCAGCAGCTTGAAACTACGCCGGGAGTGACTTTCTTGTTAGCTGAATGCTGAACCAATGAATCTGGGAGTCACACGTGGTCACAGAAACTATAAAACAAAGTAGTCGCCTTTACTGACTGCTGATCAACCAGACATGTCGAGCAACCAAAAGTTGTGTAGCACCACACTGTAATACATCCATGATGCACCCGTGGCGAGATCAGCGTCGTGCACTGTAGAGAACTGATCACCTCATTGTTGGCCGAGTGGATCCTCCAATGTCTTCCAACGAGCACAAATATCACAAGCAGGCAAGTACGCGAAACCCGCAGGTCAGTTTTCAATACTTCACCAGCGATGCAAAGTCTTCCACATGCGACGGCCTGCGGCTTGTGTAACAACTTGTATAGAGAGCTGTGGGCCAAGGGCGAAGCCAGAAAGCGCTCACAAAACCATCAGAAAAAGCCCTCAACTTTCTCCACCTGTCTGCGCTGAACTTTGTTGCCCTTCCGAAGCAAAGGCCTCAACTTTGACGACTCCCATCCAATCCAAACCAGCCTCTGGCCAGTTGCTCCAGCTAAGGGGGATGCAAAAAAACATCAAGGAGTAAACTGCCAGAAGTGGGCCCACCTCAGCGGGCAAAAACTCAAGCCCATCGTCGACGAGGAGAAACAGCCCATGCTTCAACCAAATAACACGATGGAGCATACGCGCTAGCCATACGACCCTTCAAGCCGAGCAGCTCCACGACGCAAAGGAACAAAAGGAATCCAACTGTCGCAATCTTCTCAATCGCAGTCGATTGACAACGCAATTGTGGAAGCACATCATCGCGTCCATACTTCGGAACGCCTTGTTGACGTGTGGTTCCCTATGGTGACCTTGCGTCGCCGAATCCCGAGAGCGCACGCCGGCCTGCTGAGCCCAAGTGAGCATAGCGCACTTCCTAGAGTGCAGTGTGTATTCACCAGCAACAGCAGACCACGACACTTGACCAAACAACGTCGAAAACCTAGCGCAGCGGAGTAGCCAATGGGGTTGGCACTCCTGCCAATTAAAGAAGTCTCGCGAAGGATCCGATGACCGCAGGCGTGACAGCTCGCGAAAGACAAGATGCCCCCATTCACTGCAAGAAGTTCCTTGACAAAGAACCCCCCAAGGCACCAGTAGCCTCATGCTTGCGTCACCACGACCAACCACACAAGCAATCTTTATCACATGCGACAGAAGCCAAGTCAATACGCTGAGCATCACTCCAACGTAAACTGCCAAAGATCATGAGAAGGAAAGAATCAACCATAAGTCATCCTCAGCAGCAGAGGCGCAAGCCCTCTCAAAACTCCTCACAATCTCGAGGCTAAGCAGGATGGCCTCGCGAATATGGCCTTTCTGCCACTTGTCCCGAGGCGACCATGCCCGCACTAAGGGGCAATCCAATGCATCGCTGTCAGAGAACACACCTTTGCTGAGCCTTCCTTCGCCGTGATCCACGCATACACCGCTAGTGAAAGCTTCAAGAAAATCCAGAACCTGAACAATGCTGGGAGCACCAACAGATCACCCCAAAGGTAAGTAATACGCCGTCCAGCTTTGCCATCCACGAAGGCGACGTCGAAGCGTCGAAGATGTCCTGTCTGCAAAGAGCCGCACGAAATGCGCCTCCTTGACTTCTACATGGCCAAACGAGATCCAGACTTGCAGAACTTATTTCTATCATCATCCTCGATTTGGCGTAGTGAAACACACGCATCCACACTACATTGCCCATGCCCAGCGCCAACCAAAGCAGAAGAAGCAATGCGTGCTGCGCATTGCTAAGTTCGAGGACGGTCACAAGCCACGTGACTCAAGCTTTACTCGAGAACACCCAGGCACAGGATTCGCCTTTCCGCTCCCAAGCGGCGGTTTGCAAGGCGCCGCGTGAAGACTCAGTGTCCAAGGCGTAGCAACAAGAAGACAAACACAACAACACGAAGTGAAAGACGCCAAAGACGTTTGCAGAAAGTAATTCAACTCATCTCCAGTTTCTGCGCATTACGAAAAGGCTGCGAGTGCGAGTGTATGGTGCGTGCCGCAGGCTAACGCCATGTGCAAGCATACATGGGGTTTGGCAACATGACCAAGCCACGGGCCCCTTTGGCTTGGGTTTTAGGGGTTAGAGCTTGTGGTTTGGGGTTTAGGTTTTAGGGTTTAGGGTTGGGGTTTAGGGCTTAACATAAGAGCAGGTTGTGCCATAACATAATCGAGAGAAGTATAGGTGAACTTGATAGATAGACGCAATGATACCTACACGTGTCCATCATCGGCGCTACTTCTGAGAACTGCAGTCACACTACGATGGCAGAAAAACAGTAGTATAGCATACTGCAGTACAGTTGAAGTATAGTTAGCACAAGGCATTTCTACACTTACTTAGATCAACACTCTCAGTAGCCCAGGAACCATCTTACAATAAGGGCACACTTTTGAGGGTTGGTTACTTTACAATGGAACCCTGAGCCGAACAACAGACACGGGCACCACTGGGCTATCAAAACCCTAAACACCCCAAACCCTAACCCCTAAAGCCCTAAACCCAAAACCCTAAACCCTAAACCCTAACCCATTGTGGTTTGCAGTACAATTTGGAGCACAAGGTGCCTGCGGGCGCCCACCTTGCTCCCACTGCGTTCGCTGGCAGCCCCACTCCTGAGTTGCTGTGGTTTAAGGTGATGCAGGGTTTAGGGTTTAGGGTGTACTTGGAGGTGCATGGTACTTATTAACCAATTATAGCTGTACTTATGACTGTACTTATAAGCATATTAGGGCACTTAAGGTGCCTATAAGTGGGTTATAGGTACATGTATAATTGGCTAATAAGTACCATGAACCTCCAAGTAGGGTAGACCCCACAAGGACCCCACATCTAGGCGATACAGCCCCCAAAATCCAGGATACAAAAGCCACTGACCTGGGGTAATTTGGAAGTCTAGGTACAACATGAACCTGCAGAATCGACACTGCCAAAACTCCCCCCCCCCCCCCCACCCAAAAAAAGCAGGAAAACGTGCACCGCCACCTGCAAATCCGAACTCACAAGCACATTCCGACAACCCTCGACCAACATGCCCTCCGAACCGTGGCGCACAAGACCTCAGACCCCTAAACCTCCGAAAGTCATGAGCCCTGAGCCCTGAGGGTTTGAGGGCCTAGGGCTTCAGGGCTTCGCAGGGTCGGAACAAAAAACGGTGGCCAGGGCTCCACGTCCTGCTCCGATTCTTCTTCAGCCTCTGCGAGGAGTGGAGAGGGAGAGGGAGAGGGAGAGAGAGAGAGGGAGAACTGCCCCCAAAGGCTCACCCAAGCATCCCCCAACCAAAAGGGGTCCTCAAGGGACCCGTAGGTAATCTAATGCGGTCCCTTACCTTCTGCGCAGGGTTCTGAAGTACGGGCCCTGGGGTTTTTTGGTGTATATAAGGTGTGTAAGGTCCCCTTTGTTAGTTGCTGAGTTCATAAGCCCCCAAAAAGTGTACGCTTTCAGTTCTATAGGGTATTATCGTATCCCAAAAAGAGTCTGCTCACTCAGCTACTCAGCCAAGGGCTCATGTAACTACCCTAGGAGTAAGGGCTCAAAAGGGCTTGGGGTTGAGGGTTTGGGGTGGGTTTAGGGTTCAGGGCAACACTTCTCTTCGTTTTTTTTCTTTTTAATTTTTTTGGGCCGGGGGGGGGGGGGGGGGCGTGGGGGTCCTCGCCAAACCATCAAGACCCTGTAGACCTTGTCGCCAGAACAAAACCTAGAGACGCCCATGAAATGTAAAGCAACAGTCTTGTCGATCCTAACCCCTAAACCCTAAACCTGTAACCCTAAACCCTAAACCCTCAACCCTAAACCCTAAACCCTAAACCCCAAACCCTAAACCCTAAACCCTAGACCCTAAACCCCAACATGGACCCTAAAGAGAGACTGGGGCAGTTGAGGCGCGACTTCTTGGGGCTGACGCTCTCCGCCGTGCAGGGTGGAGGGCACGCGGCCACCTCCTTGCAGCCTGGCATTAAGTTGGGTTTAGGGTTTAGGGTTTAGGGTTTAGGGTTTAGGGCTTAGGGCTTAGGGCTTAGGGCTTAGGGCTTAGGGCTTAGGGCTTAGGGCTTAGGGCTTAGGGCTTAGGGCTTAGGGCTTAGGGTTTAGGGTTTAGGGTTTAGGGTTTAGGCTACGGTTTCGGGTTTGGGGTTTAGGGTTTAGGGTTTGGGGAGCCTCGGGTTCGGAGGTTCGGGTTTAGGACATACATATGGGCTCCAGCCAAAACTCCCGCCCGCCTTCGGCGGAGTTGTAGATCCAGAGGATCGTCTTATAGTCGATCCGATCCTTGGGGGACACTTTAGAGCTTTTAGGCTTTAGGGCTTAGGGTTTGGGGTTTAGGGCCTTTAGGGTTTAGGGCGATTTAGGGACTTTTTCGGGCTGCGTCTGGGGCATGTGGGGGTTGAGCGGCTCACGGCCTCACAGGGTGATGGTTATCGCGTGGTCCCCCTTTTGGGCAAGATATGGGGCTCTCCGGGAGCAGCTCATGAATCTGAGGCTTTAGGGTTTAGGGTTTAGGGTTTGGGGTTTAGGGTTTGGGGTTTAGGGTTTGGGGTTTAGGGTTTAGGGTTTGGGGTTTGGGGTTCAGGGCTTGGGTTTATGTTTTAAAGTACCCTATGTTGGGTTACACACTCTGGCGCCTTGCATCATCTTCTTTCAAAGGCCACTGAGCCCTTACAAACCCTAAGCCCGAAGCCCTAAGCCTTTAACCCCTGAACCCTAAACCCTGAACCCTGACCCTAAACCCTAAACCCTAAACCCTAAACCCTAAACCCTAAACCCTAAACCCTAAACCCTAAACCCTAAACCCTAAACCCTAAACCCTAAACCCTAAACCCTAAACCCAGTGTGCCCTAGACCCCAAACTCTCTACTCGCTAAGCTCACTCATGCCGGGGTTCCGGGAAGAGCTCGAAGTCACAGCAGCAGCGCAAAAGACCCTGGTTTAGGGTTTAGGGTTTAGGGTTTAGGGTTTAGGGTTTAGGGTTTAGGGTTTAGGGTTTAGGGTTTAGGGTTTAGGGTTTAGGTGGATCGGCAATGAAGCAATTAGAGGGCTTGCGTCGGGTTGAAAGGCTTATTTGTTGGGGTTGGCTTTGGCATACAACTTGCTCTGGTTTTAGAGTAACACGTTTTAGAGGGCTGTCAGTCTTTTGCTCTTTTTTGGGTTCAATGGTTAGGGTGTTAAAGCGTCAACAAAGTCGGCTTCACGATCCTGACCTGCTTGAACTTCTAAGCCAGCCCCGAAAACGCCGAAGCCCATAAACAAACCGCAAGCCCCATAAACCCCACAAACCCCATAAACGCCATCAACACCATAACCCCACCAAAAACCATAAACATTATCCACAACAGCACCATCAACCCTAAACCCAAAACCTAAACCCGAAACCCTAAACCCTAAACCCTAAAACCCTAAAACCCCATAAACTTCCCAGATCCTGTCAAACCTGATCACCCCAAGGCCACCTTTACGCTCATGCTCCCGGTGCCGTCGGGCATGGGCAAGTCGGCGTAGGCCTCACGCGTAGGGTTTCGGGCTTGGGGTTTTAGGTTGCAGGTTTAGGCGTGCAAACTGGTGCTACATGCCAGGGGGAGCTGGGATTAGACTCGGAACCCTAAACCCTAAACCCTACACCCTAAAACCCTAAACCCTAAAAACCCCAATCTTACAAAGAGTTGGATGCAGGGTCTCGGTTCATGGGCTTAATGCTAGGGATTCCAAGCTCGTCCGTCTAGTCTAAATTGGGGGGGGGGGTCGTTTTTTGTTCATGAGGAGTGTAGTGTTGTGGGTTTAGGGTTTAGGATTCCTTTTGGGGGTGGTGTATTTCAAGCGGAGTCTCCCCCATTTCGGGAAGTGTGTCCTTCACACAGCCCTGTGAAGAGCCTCGTGTTCAACAGAAAGCCTAAGCCCTGAACCCTGCACACCACCAGACTTCCCCCCTTCCCCCCCCTCCCCCCGCCCCCCAAAACGGTTTGGAGTTAGGGTTTAGGGCATAGCGGGCCCAACCTACACACCCCCTACATCCTGGGATTGTAGGCATTGCCGCTCGCAAAAGGCCCTTTGGCAGGAGGGTTGACCTTGAGAACCCCCAGACCTTCTGGGCAGCTGTTTCAAGACTGCACAAGGTGAGGCTTTTTGGGGGTTAAGGATGTACGGGTCTGAGGTTTTAAGGTTTAAGGGCTTAAGGTCTTGAGGCTTTAGGGATTTCGGAAACCCTAAACCCTAAACCCTAAACCCCAAACCCCAAACCCAAACCCCAAACCCCAAACCCCAAACCCCAAACCCTAAACCCTAAACCCTATCAGGTTTAAACCCAATCCTAAAGGTGCAGGGTTTTGAAGGGCCCAAGTCCCCTCCCTGCGCCTCAAACAGATGGTGGAAGATGCCTGTCCTGAAGAGGGCTGTGACCATGTAGGGTATAGGTGTAGGGGTGGTAGGCCCAGTGTAGGGGTTTGGGGTTTAGGGTTTAGGATTTAGGGTTTAGGGTTCAAGCCCTGAACCCGCAAAAGGGTCCTAAAACCCCGAAGCCCATAGATCCTCAACCCTACGCCTACTCAGATAGTCTGACTGAGGGGGTTTAGGGTTTAGGGTTTCGTGCAGACAGCGTGGTGGACCTTCTAACCGTCACTGGATCACATGTACATGTGCATCCAGCTCCATGTTGCTTATCTTTGTGTATTTCCAGGGGCTTTGCTACGGGGTGAACATGGGTTTTAAGCTTCGTGATATTGAACTAAGAAGCTTCAGGAACTGTTCTAGGGCCAGGAGAATATCCAAGGCATGCCTGTCTACCTTGTCACGGCACACGTATGAGAACCCGAAGGGTCCATGTACCTACATGAGGAATACTTGAGCCTTAAAGCACCTCCTACATAATTAGGGACTTTGGGGCCCATGTATACAACACACGGACCACTAGGGTGAAGCTAACTGAAAGAGTTGCTGGGATGGGATAAGGCAGCGGCTTCGCAGGCAACACACATCCGCACGCCAGCTTCTGAAGGGCGCTCACGCGAAAGGGGGGCGGCGGCCCATTGCTAGTTTTTTCCTGGCCTAAAGGCACGGATCGTTGACGTCTGCCGAAGCCGCACGGACCCTCCGAGAGTAACAGGCCAATCTGCCCTTTTGGCGAGACCTCCGCGCCGTCCCACAACTAGACCCAGGAGTAACCTGGGAAGTAAAAGGGTACCCTTTTTGGTTTGAAGGGGATTATAAGGGAACCCCAGCCCTAAAAAAAGGAAATGAGGGCCTGCTCCGGGCCCTAGACCATGGACCATGTCTAAACCGAGTTTCTACAATTCAGACAAAACTACAAAGCGTATTCCAAATCATTAGTACACAATTTCTCGTGGGCCTCCCAACCTCTAAGTCTAAGCCCACAAAAACCCTTAGAAATCATAAACCCCAATGAGCCCTTAGACCCTAAACCCGAAACCCTAACCCAAAACCCGGTAAAGTTTAACAACCCACCACCCCCCCCCCCCCCCCCCGAAAAATATATAAATAAATAAATAAATAAATATATATATATATACATATATATATATATATAAACAAAAAAACATCCCCTCCCAGAATCAGCCATGCGTCAGCTGGGGCATGAGGACAAGCACCTCGGCCAATGAGGACTTTTAAAGCTCGGGAACCCGGGTCCATGTAAGTTATGATTATATACTTGTCTCCCAATATTATTTAATCTAGGAGGTACTTTAAGGGCGCCCAAGTATTCCAGATTATTTAGGTACATGGACCCTTAGGGGAACCCTGGTTCCCAAAATATCGAGCAACACCGAAAGGTTCAACGTTTCAAGTTCAAGGCACGCACGGGTGTCTGCTGCTAGGCCCGAAATGAGTAAAGCTTCATTATCAACGGCCGGAAAGCCTGGCTGTGCGGCATTGTTGTGCAGTGTGGTGTGAACAGATGCGGTTGTGCTTGTGGTGGTTGTGGTAAGTGGGATGGCTGGTCGTGGTCGTGGTCGTGGCGATGGCGGTGGCTGCTGCTGATGTTGCTGTCGCGGTTCCTGCGGTTGTTGTGACTATTCCAGCTGCTGTGGTTTGGTTGGGGTGGAGCACCGATCAAAACCGTGCCAAGAGAAAGCCGGTCATCAGCTGTGAAACCTGTTGAAAGGTCATCAAGGGTAATCTCTGACACCCTAAACCCTTGTCTTCTTGTCCTCCTGTGACCTGGAGATCAACTTGAAACACGCAAATCAAGAGAGAGAAAAGGACGCAAAGGACCCAAGATTCTTCTGCAAAGCAGCCCACGCTTCCCAACGCACATGAAACACTTCACGCCAGGTAATCGAACCATTCAAAGTCCAAGCTGTGCCGCTTCAGCATGATTGCTGTTAAGCGGCATCTTTGCGCTGTGCAGAGACCCCCTGCTAACAACAAGGCCCCAAGCCAACAGCTTTTCATAACGAGCTTTGTGATAGGCACAGCATCAGGCAATCGAACCATCTCTTTGCGTCCACACCAGGTATCGGCGTGGTTACTTGAAGTGAAGTGTCATCCTTGCGCTGTCCAAAGTCACATGCTAAAAACGAGGGCCCCAACCATCAAGCTTCCACAACAAGCATTGTAATAGGCACAGCATCAGGCAATCGAACCATCTCTTTGCGTCCACACCAGGTATCGGCGTGGTTACTTGAAGTGAAGTGTCATCCTTGCGCTGTCCAAAGTCACATGCTAAAAACCAGGGCCCCAACCATCAAGCTTCCACAACAAGCATTGTGATAGGCACAGCATCAGGCAATCGAACCATCTTTTTGCGTCCACACCAGGTATCGGCGTGGTTACTTGAAGTGAAGTGTCATCCTTGCGCTGTCCAAAGTCCCATGCTAACAACAAGACCTCGGCCCCAACCATCAAGTTTCCACAACAGCATTGTGATAGGCACAGCATCAGGCAATCGAACCATCTTTTTGCGTCCACACCAGGTATCGGCGTGGTTACTTGAAGTGAAGTGTCATCCTTGCGCTGTCCAAAGTCACATGCTAAAAACGAGGGCCCCAACCATCAAGCTTCCACAACAAGCATTGTAATAGGCACAGCGTCAGGCAATCGAACCATCTCTTTGCGTCCACACCAGGTATCGGCGTGGTTACTTGAAGTGAAGTGTCATCCTTGCGCTGTCCAAAGTCACATGCTAAAAACCAGGGCCCCAACCATCAAGCTTCAACAACAAGCATTGTGATAGGCACAGCATCAGGCAATCGAACCATCTCTTTGCGTCCACACCAGGTATCGGCGTGGTTACTTGAAGTGAAGTGTCATCCTTGCGCTGTCCAAAGTCCCATGCTAACAACAAGACCGCAGCCCCAACCACCAAGTTTCCACAACAGCATTGTGATAGGCACAGCATCAGGCAATCGAACCATCTTTTTGCGTCCACACCAGGTATCGGCGTGGTTACTTGAAGTGAAGTGTCATCCTTGCGCTGTCCAAAGTCACATGCTAAAAACCAGGGCCCCAACCATCAAGCTTCCACAACAGCATTGTGATAGGCACAGCATCAGGCAATCGAACCATCTCTTTGCGTCCACACCAGGTATCGGCGTGGTTACTTGAAGTGAAGTGTCATCCTTGCGCTGTCCAAAGTCCCATGCTAACAACAAGGCCGCGGCCCCAACCATCAAGCTTCCACAACAGCATTGTGATAGGCACAGCATCAGGAAATCGAACCATCTTTTGCGTCCACACTAGGATCGGCGTGGTTACTTGAAGTCAAGTGTCATCCTTGCGCTGTCCAAAGTCACATGCTAAAAACCAGGGCCCCAACCATCAAGCTTCCACAACAGCATTGTGATAGGCACAGCATCAGGCAAGGCACAGCATCAGGCAATCGAACCATCTCTTTGCGTCCACACCAGGTATCGGCGTGGTTACTTGAAGTGAAGTGTCATCCTTGCGCTGTCCAAAGTCCCATGCTAACAACAAGGCCTCGGCCCCAACCATCAAGCTTCCACAACAGCATTGTGATAGGCACAGCATCAGGCAATCGAACCATCTCTTTGCGTCCACACCAGGTATCGGCGTGGTTACTTGAAGTCAAGTGTCATCCTTGCGCTGTCCAAAGTCACATGCTAAAAACCAGGGCCCCAACCATCAAGCTTCCACAACAGCATTGTG